AAACAAGGTTTCAATCAACAAAATATTATCAAACTGAATTCAACAATACATTAAAAGGGTCATACCCCATGATCAAGTGGGATTTATTCCAGGGCTGCAAGGAAGGTTCAACATCAGCAAATCAACAAAATATGTCACCTTAACAAATTGAAGAATAAAAATCATACAATCATCTCAATAGATGCAAAAAAGCATTTGACAAAATTCAACATCTATTCATGATAAAAAACTGTTAACAATGTGGGTATCAAGGGAACATATTTCAGCATAATAAAAGGCCATATATGACAAGCTCACAGCTAACATCATACTCAAAGGTGGAAAGCTGTAAGCTTTTCCTCTAAGATCAGAAATAAGACAAGGATGCTTACTCTCAACACTTTTATTCAACATAGTATTGGAAGTCCCATCCAGAGCAATTCGGCAAGGAAAAGAAATAAAACTGTCTCTATTTGCAAATAACATGATCTGTATGTGGAAAACCCTACAGACTCCACAAAAAACCTCTTAGAACTAATAAAGGAATTCAGTAAAGTTGCAAAATCAATATTCAAAAATTTATTGCATTTCTATGCACTAACGAGGAACTATCAGAAAAATTAAGACAACAAGCTCATTTACAATTACATCAAAACAATAAAATACTTAGGAGTAAATTTAACCAAGGAGATGAAAGACGTATACTCTGAAAACTCTAAGACATTGATAAAAGAAATGGGAGAAAACACAAATAAATGGGAAGATATTCTGTGCTCATGAATTGGAAGAATTAGTATTGCTAAAATGGTCATACTATCAAAGCAACCTACATTTTCAATGCAATCCCTATCAAAATTCCAGACATTTTTCATAGAACTAGAACAAAGAATCCTAAAATTTGTATGGACCCACAAAAGGCCTCAAATAGCTAAAGAAATCTTGAGAAAGAAGAACAAAGGGGAGACATCATGCTTCCTGATTTCATATTATAAATTATAGTAATCAAAACAGTATACTATTGGCATAAAAATAGACACATAGATCAACAGAACCATATAGTGAACACAGAAATAAACCCGCGTCTATGTGGTCAATTAATTTATGACAAAGGAACCAAAAATATACAATGGGGAAAGGATAGTTTCTTCAATAAGTAGTATTGGGAAACTGGAAAGCCACATGCAACAGATAAAACTATCTTATAACATACACAAAGATCAACTTAAAATAGGTTAAAGATATGAAGGTAATACCTAAAACCTAAAACCATAAAACTCCTAGAAGAAAACACAGGGAGTAAATTCCTGAACATCAGTCTTGGCAAAGATTTGTTTTGGATTTGACGCCAAAAGGAAAGGCAACAAAAACAACAATAAATGGTACTACATCAAACTAAAAAGCTTTTATTGCACAGTAAAGGAAGCCAACAAAATAAGAAGACAACCTGCAGAAAGGGAGAAAATATTTGCCAATCATATTATCTGATAGGGAGTTAATATCCAAAATACATAAATAACTCCTTCAACTCAATAGCAAAAAAAAAAATCTGATTAAAAAATGGGCAGAGAATCTGAATAGACCTTTTTTTCCAAAGAAGACATACGGAGGGCAAACAGGTTCATGAGGAGTGCTCCAAGTCACTAATTGTCAGGGAAATGCAAAGCAAAACCACAATGAGCTATCAGCTCACACCTGTTAGAATGGCTATTATCAAAATGGCAAGAGATAAGAAGTTTTGACAAGAAAAAGCAACCCTTGTGCACCGTTGGTGGGAATGCAAACTGACGTAGCCACTGTGGAAAACAGTATGTGGGTTCCTCAAAACATTAAAAATAGAACTACCCTATGACCCACAATTCCACTTCTGGGTATTTATCAGAAGAAAATGAAATCCCTATCTCAAAGAGATAGCTGCACCCCCACATTCATTGCAGCGTTATTTGCAATGGCCAAGACATAGAAACAATCTAAGTGTTCACTGATGGATGAAAAGATGGAGATATTGTATATGTATATAAAATGGAATACTATTTGGCCATGAAAAGAAGGAAAACCTGCCATTTGTTGCAGCATGGATGGACCTTGAGGGTATTGTGCTAAATGAAATGTCAGATAGAGAAAGACGAGTACTGTATGATCTCACTTATATGTGGAATATAAAAAAACCAAATGCATAGAAGAAGAGAACAGAATGGTGGTTGCCCGACGCAGAGTTGGGGGATGGGAGAAATGGGTGAAGGAGGTCAAAAGGGACAAACTTCCAGATAAATAAGTTCTGGAAATGTAATGTACTATATGGTGATTATAGTTAATTATACTATATTGTATATTTGAAAGGTGCTAAGATAGTAGATCTTAAAAGTCTCATCATTAGTGAAAAATTTGCAACTATATCAGGTGATAGATATTAACTAAACTTATTGTAGTAATAACTTCACAATATGTAAATATATTAAATCATTATGTTGTACAACCTAAACAAATACAATGTTATATTGTCAACACTATCTCAGTAAACTGGGGGGGGATAAAAAAGGGTTTCAAAATACTATTCATTCCATTTTGTGTAGATCTGGAATGTTCTGCATGATTATCTATCTCTGAGTGATGACATGGGTAATTTCATTTCTTTTTTTATTAATGTTTTCTGAATGTTGTAATAAACATGCATATTTTTAAATTTTGCTTTATTTTACTTTTTTAAAATCTCTCCTCCCAGTGTGGGGCTTGAACTCACAACCCAGAGACCAAGAGTCACACGCTTTACAGACAGAACCAGCCAGGCACCCCAACATGGGTATTTTTAAACTATAAAATATATGAAGTGAGCGGCTCTAGGTGTGAAAAATATTAGATGTTGGGTGACATTTAGGAACATCTAAACCCCATCATTTAATAGTAGGATGTATTCTTACTTGATGGGATCACCATGATTAGTCACACTTAAACGAGGTGACTGAAACTATATAATCATAATGTATTGTGATTCCATATTCGGGTAAAAACTTGATTATAATGGGCCTTCTTTAAAGATTGTTTAGCAGAAACGGATAGGTTCTGCCTGAAGTTCGGAAAAAAGTAAGGGCGAGAATGTGAGGGTGTGAATGTGGTACTGGTTGGGGGAGGGGTGGGAAAGGCTGGTGGGTGGATGGTGCTCTGTGAAGCATAGGCTTGGAGAAGCACAGAAAATTCCCACCCACCTCTACCTTCTCTTATTTCATGCTTAGGAGGCACTTAGTCTTGTAAAGTGGGCACCTTAAACGGTGCGCAGGAGCACTCCTTTCCCTACAAAAGCATGCCCCCCTCACCTTCCCGTCAATCAAACATTAACTGCCTGATGAACAGGTCAGTCCTTTGTGAAGTCGGGTCCTGTGTAACCATCCCTGATGTCTGGTCACTTCTGTGCCACTAAGAGCTGTGGCTTCTGAACCACATCTTGGTGATTGTCCCTAGATTTACCCCTGCGGGACTGGTAGCCTACTCTGCCTTTGCCTAGGGTGTTTCTATGGAAGCAGAATAGTCGCCATTTTCAAGTAATACATCAGTATCCTGAAGACAAGACTTCCATTCAAAGGATCGGATTCTAATACTGGAACTGTTAAGTTGGTAGAGGAATACATCTGGGGAAGGTAAGCCAGAGACACCTATCAAGTTATACTACAACTATAAACACTGAAGTCAGGATTTGTCCCAAGAACTGCCTTATTTCCTGTTTTTTTTTGGGGGGGGGGGACGGGGAGTGCTCAGGGGCTTGTCTTTTCCTTCTTATTTTTAACTAGAAGCTTACTGAAGTCACTGATTGGCATCTGCACTAAGTTCTCCCCTTAAGGCTGATCTTGGGCGGGCGTTAGTCTTGCCAGAGTGAAGTAGAAGTAGAGTCCAGCTTCCCTTTGTCTGAGCCGTCCTGTGAGGAGGAGGACTGACATTCGCTGACCGGGTGTTGGAGTCGGGTGTGTGGTCAGAACCCACAGATCACATGGGGAGAGTGCCTGGGGGTGGGGCCAGCCCCGACGAGAGTTTACCATACTTGTGTATCCGAATTAGAACAAAGAGCCTTGAACTGAGAATCAGAAAATGTGCATAGTTCCAAGTACCAGCTTTCACACCAACCAACTGTACCTTGGGCAAGACATGTCACTTCTCTGGGCTACGTCTTACTCACTTAACTGGATCAGAATGACCTCTAACGCTACTTCTAGTTTGATCTTCTATTAAATTAAGACTGTGCTGCTTTGTAGATGCCATGGCTCCCTTTTCTTTGCATGAGGATAATGAGGAGTTGACTACATCGAAGGCAATTAAGTGAAGAAATTTGGAAAATACATTAGACGATGAAGTCAAAATAATAGCACTCATATTTCAAGTGCTTGCTATGTTCTGGAATTTTATGACAATATTTTATTTAACAGATAAGGCAACTGATTCCCAGAGGAGGATTTAAAATTGCCCAAGATCAGCTATTTCAAAAGTTAACTCAAATTGCTGCTCCTAACTACTGTGGTTTCTAGCCTCCCCAAACTAGAAAATAACATCCAAGTGACTGTTTTTTTGTTTTTTCCTTTTCTTCTTGTTAAAAATCACATCCGGAAATGCAGAAACTGTTTAGGCCAAATTCACAATTTTCCTGAGAGGGAAACTGAGTCTCAGGAAGGGTAAGTTTTTTGAACAAGGTGAAACTCTGAACTCATGGTGTTTTTTAAATTTCTTTGATGATTTCATAACATTCTATATTCATTGTTGATTATAAAAGTAATATATGTTCAGTAGAGAAAATCTGGAAAATGGAGAAAAAGTTAAAAAATAAAAATACAAATACTACCATCTTACCATTCAGAAAAAGCCATTGTTAACAGTTTGGTGTATTTCCTTCCGAACTTTTTGAATCTATTAAATAACAATTATTATTATTTATTGTTGTTATTATTATTATGACTACAAATTGTGACTCCTATTTTTTTTTCCACTTACCCTTCTCCCTTTAGTGAAATTTTTGAAAACGAAGATTTGGGAAGGTGTCTCACCTGGGAGGTCTCTTCACACTAGAATCAGAATGGACTCTTGCCACCTGCCCGGGATAGTACCCTTGGACGTCCTTTCCTTGATGAGCGATGAATATACTAGTGGAGAAAGTAAGAAGGTGATAAAAGGAAAAAAATAATTACTACAATTAGTTCTTTACAGAAGAGTGCAGCTGTGGTCCTAATAAAATAGCCACGCACTTTGCCCTCGGTCCCTAAACCCATGGAATTTCTTGATGGGAGCATCTTCTGTTACCCGTTTCCCAGGATTTGGTTCTCAAGATTCATAAGGAAATATTCGACGTGTCAGGTATTAGGTTCAAAATATCAGAAAAAGAAATAAGAGGCTATATAAGACCATGGGGGCAAATGCTGAGAATCATCAAAATGTGAAAATGGATAAATGGGGGTTCCTTATACTGTTTTTTTCTACTTTGGGTAGGTTTACAAACTTTCAGAAGTTTTTTGTTTTTGGTTTTTTAAACTGTGTCGATTAAGTGTATGGGGCAAGAAATGAATAGGCACTAGGATGGGGCACAGGGCGCTTGTGGGCGGCGGCGGGGGGCAGCCCTGCTGGGGGACGCTGGGCTTTGAGGAGGTTTTGAGGCACAAAGAGTGTAGGAAGTGTCTCTGGGTGCGAGGGTGAGACAGGGCAGACAGCTAAACCCCAGAGCTGGGGAGGAGGCAGGGTGAGGCTCGGTGAGGGCGCTGTGGTGCCCAGACCTCACCTTTTGAAAGACATCTTATTTTACAATCAATTCATTTTCCTTTCAGATTACAGTCACTGCGTTAGGTGGTTACATCAGAATTATGTATAGTTGGATTATGTTATTTGCAGGTTCTATTTCAGAAGAGCAGTAGGAACATTACAAAATATTTGTTATACATAAAGGGAGTGTTGTGTCTTGAAAGGTTGAGAACCACTCATGTAGGTGACAGGGAATCTTGGCAGCATTTTTAAGAAGGTTAATGACTTAGGGCAATTTTTATTCTAGAAAGATCTTTGCCAGTGGCAGTGTGGACAACAACGTGGAGGACAGTCTGACGAGAAGTACAGAGATTGGCCAGGAGGTAATTGTGGCCATTTAACGTGGGACATGGAGAAGCTCTGAGCTGTGTGGTAGGAAGGTGGCTGGACAGGACCAAGGACACTGTGGGAGAAAAGGTTGAAGCTGAGAGGGAAGTGTCCAAGACAAGGACAGGCTTGCCCTTGGGCTTCAGACATAAGGAAGAAGGCTGCCATTCCTCAGGAGACTGAGGGGACACAGGTGACCATTGTGGGGAGGATGACCTTAGAGAGTTTGTGATATGTAGGTCTTTGGGGACCTTTCACAGATTCTGAGCACTCAGTAGGTGCCATCAGCGGTCCAAGGGAAGAGCCAGTCCAAAGGGGTACATAGTTTTGTATGAAGTAGCTCGCCAAATCTGTGTTGGGTGATGAACAAAAGCCTGACCCATGGCTGCCGGCCAACCAGAATTTACTGAGTGCACATACTGGGCCTGCACGCGCTGGGTTCTGCAGATACAGAGCTGACTAGGAATTACTGCTTACCCTTACAATGCTCTTTATGTGCTGAAATAGTGATCTGAATAAAGTGTCAGTGGGGGCACAGACAAGGGAGGGGTGCCTAGGATTGGGGCAGGCAAATAGGATGGGGAAGAGATTCTAGGTGAGGGGAATTTTAGAAGCCAAGATGTGGCCAGAGTTGGGATCAGAGCAGAGTGTGTGGGGGCCGGTGGGAACCTCGCTGTCCGACGAGTGTGAAAGGCGAGCGCTGTGAACAGGGTGGGTCTGTCTGTCTAAGCAAACAGGACCTTGGGGAGCTCTGATTTTCAGAAAACCACAGGCTGTCTGGGCCTGCCCCGTGGCTAGGATAATATGACTGAGCCCTGAAGAGTGCATAACAGCAGGGATTAAGTCATATGGAGAGAGAGGAACTGGCACAATAACAGGGAAAAAATGACATCTTTGAGTGCCTGGGAGTGGGACTTTCTTGGGCAGCCATCCCGTTTCTGAAGTGCTACCTTGGAGAGATTACCCTAGGGTCATGTTATGCTTTGTTAAGAACCCCAGTGGGGTTCCAAATCCACACTGGTTTCTCACAGTTGCTGTGCTGTTTTCAGTAGGCTGAGTCTTGACCATGGATTCTTCCCTAGCATGCATATAACCAATGCCTGATGAATACAGGTGAGTAATCTAAGCACTGGTCCTTAGACACAGTCTGCAAAAGCTGTTTTGAGAATGGAGAAGCCCTTCTTTACCAGGACTGGGTAACACACCCTGCTCACTATCCCTGGGGAGTCTCTCTTGGTAGGTTTTGGCCCAGGAGCTGGGAGAGGAAGGGAAAGTGTGTGAGCAGGCATTGGAGGGAAGAAGGGCTGGGTGGAGAAGCAGAAAGTTCTGGGGGAAAGAATGGCGCATTTTGTCTCCAACTCTTTGGGTAGACTTTCCAAGCTCCCCATGTGGCCTAACTTCAGCTCAAACAGGAGAAAGCTCCCAGTCAGGAGGTTAATGGGGGGCAATGCCTAACCTGGCTTGTCAACAGTGTTCCCAGAGGCTTCCCCTGAGGGCCTTGGGTGCAGACCTGGCTGAGGACCCCTACTGGAGCTCTGCTCAGACCCATCCGTTAACTTGGCTTACAAAATTCCTGAATGAGTTGTAGGAAGGTCTTTTCTTCTTGGGTGGGAGCAGGAGTCCTGCTTTGTCTGATTCCCCCACACATTGTTTACCAGTCCCTGCCTGACAGCTTGGCTCTTTGAGATGATGTGTTTTGTCCAGACAAGAGCAAACCTGTCACCTGGGAGAGTGCACGTCACAGGAGCAGAAATCTGGGCTTAGCCACGGACAAAATTCAGTATACACAAGGGAGGCCAGGAGGGTTCGTCCCTCAAGAGCCTGGCCCCATGGCTGGAGGTGGCCCATGCTCCTAGGTGACTCTGCTGTCCTTTGTTATGTCTGTGTTGGGCCTCAGGCTTTAGGAGGGTGATCTCATCTAATTCCCAGTCACCTTGCCAGGTAAATATTATGAACACCCTGTTACAGAACATGAGACCGAGGCTCGGAGAAGTCATGTGGGCTCTCCAAACATTACCTGGCTGGTAAACGCCAGAGCCATGGATCAAACCCTATTCTCTGAACTCTGTGGTGCATCTGGAGTCATCTCTGTGTATGCAGGATGGCTTTTTTTCAGAAGAGTTCAGTGCTGTTTTTATAGGAACTCTGGGATTCTTTCACTGGCAGACAGGAAGTAGATGGCATGCACCAGAGGAAGAGGAGAAGGAATAGCGCAGCCATGTTAGCTGGGAGCGGCCTTCCATTCAGTGAGCCGAGTCCCCATTGAAGGTTCTACGGTGGCCGTCATGGGCCAGGTGCTAGGGACACAGTGATGATAAATATTATCTTCTACCCAAGGGTTCACAATCTGGTAGAGAAAACCACATTCAGACACTGACTCATCATACACTGTGAGTAAATGCTGGGCCAGTCAGGAACAGGCTCGGGGGAATGAGTCACTTAGTGAGGACACGAGCTAGTCAGCACAGAGGATGGACCCCTCCATGCCTGCTCTGCCATGTCCCAGACCCATTATCCCCTCAAGGAAGAGGGAAGCCTCAGGTTCCCTGTCAGTAAAGTGTGTGGGGGGGCACACCATCACCCCCCGGAATGACTCCGTGAGTCAACGAGACGGGGTGAACATACTTGGTGATCTGTGGTAGGGTTGCCATAGCTCTGGTCATAAAAAGCTGCCCCCCACAGCTGCCTCTGGGTCTCCCAGAGACCACTTCAGGCAGTGTTTTAAAAATCCATCTTAAGTCTGACAGAAATTCCACATCTTTTCTCTTCCACACCACACTGCGACTACTCCACATGAAGCAATCTTTTCGGGAGTATCCGGTGCTCTGCAAAACAACCCGGCCCTCAGTCTGTCTGAGTGACAGGCCTGTCGCTTGGGGGAGACAGCAGGTCACATTAGCCTCTGATACAATTCTTAGGGGAGCTGTGTGAACCCTTGAATATTTAATTTTATCGGGCGCCCCTGCCAATGTGTAATTCCATTTTCCCTCACGAGGTCCCAAGTTTCCCTCACGAGGCCCCAAGATTTGGGCGCATAAAGAGGGACCCGATATTGTCTCAGCGGAAGGAGGAGGTCAGGCCTTCCACAGAGACTGCCAGGCAGCAGGACACAAATCTGTGACAGGATATTCACTGATTCATTCACGTTCGCAAATGTGCACAGAGGAACTACTACATGTGGCAGTTGGCTCCACAGAGGTGACGATGGTGGGTGGAGGGAGGCAAATGAGCCCACCCGAGGGGCCTCCCCGGATGTGTAGCCAAGGGTAGGGATCAAGAGCACAGATGTTGGGGCCAGATTCGTGGGTTCAAATCCTACCTCTGCCAATTCCTTACTAGCTGTGGGATCATGGGACAGTCACTTAAGTACTCTGTGCCTCAGTTTACCCTCTAGACCTCACAGCTGTTGTGAAAACGAAATGAGCAAAAATGCACTGGGTGTGAGTGAGACTGGCCTGTTGGAGGAACAAAGGAAAGACAGTGGGAGGGAGGAGACCAAAGCAGGGGCAGGGCCAGTTCCTGCAGGGCCGTATAGGCCCCAGCAGAGTTTAGATTTTGTGCAACATGCAGTGATTGCAGGGTTTTATGCAATTGAGGGCTTTGATCCAATTTACATTTTATGGAGCATGTGCTGGTGAATGGGCAGGAGGAAGGCATGAATGGGAAGTTGCTGCAGGTGAGTGGGGCGAGGCAGCAGAGCGTGGGACATACAGCCTGGAGGTACCACTGAGGAACCTCCTGAGGGGTTGGCCCCCCCCTTACTGTTGCAGAGGCAGGAAAGGCATCCAGCTCCACAGTGAGTATGGTGGGGAGGTTGGGGCCCCAGCCTAGTTCAGGCGGCCTGCCTCCTCGTGGGACTCTGATGGATGAGCACAGAGAACACAATCCAGCCCCGCTTTAGGACGTCATGGATCCCGTGCTTGCTGCATAGCATTCCACCTAAACCCTCAGGCTCCCCACGGGCTGGCTTAGGCCAGGCCCCATGACTCTGACTTGGTTCCACAGAACTCCAGGCAGCAGCAGCTGAGGGAGGTTTGTTTCCATTTTGCCCAGGAGATGACCCACAGTTAAATAACCCGACAGTGGACAAGACAGATCTCAAACACACTCAGAAAGACCAAGGGCTTGTGGGGAGGCAGAAATCAGGAAATACGGGAACCCATCCCTCTGGTTCCTCCTCATGCGGGTTTCCCGGAAGCAAGGATAGACTCTGTAGTTTCTCTGAAGGAGGACTCAAAGTGTGTAGGAACACAGCATCCTTTCTCCACCCCTCCTTCAGTAATTTCTGGAAGCAGAAGGACTTATCTTTGTTGACTAAACATTGTTAAAAATAACTAGATACTAAAATAAACATGAGGCTTACTCGAAAACATGAACCCAAAGAGGCTGACCCCAAAGTCACTTGCTATGTGAGGGTTCCTGCCCAAATTTCATAGCTTCTAAACCTCTGCAGACCCCACGGCCAGTGGTGAAGGGAAGGTGAGGTTAGGGTCTATAGATTATTATCCAATATCTCTCAGCAAGATGAATTTAGCACAAGTAAATACATCTAGGAACTTGTTAGTCCTGGGCCATCTTTGAATTTGGAGGAAGAGTAAAAATCCTACTTAGTTTCAATCTGTGTAACCGTCTCCCATACAGCAGAAGCACGAAGGAGTCTGTTTGATCCCAAGCAGAGTAAAGGAGTCCCCACTAAAATGTGGGCTGAGGCTCCTCATACTTCTTGCTGATGCCCTTCCCAAGCAAAAACCAATATTCTTCCAATCTTTGGGGAGTTTGGAGTTGCCTGTTTGCTTGGATTTTTGCCATGAGTGTGGGATTTTTTTTTTTTTTTTTTTAACTTTCCCCAAACCCAAAGAAACGTCCCTGGAGCCTCTGGGAGCAGTTATCTGTCAATCAGAGAGCAGCAGGTGAGCAAGTCTGCCCCCCAGATGTCATCTGCCCCACTGCAGCTCTGGATGGCATCTGCGTCTGGAAGGACATTACCTGGATGGGATCACTGGGCGGCGGTCAATAAATTCTCGAAGCCGGATGGCAGCCATGGTGGATGGGAGTCTAAAAAATATCACAGAGTGAAGGTTGATATTGGAAATTTATATACACTACATAGTATATTGCGTATTGTGCGAACACACTCTATACACAGTCCATTTCCACGCAGGAGCTATATCTAGTCCCACCAATTCTGTCTTGAAGGAAATAACAGTAAGAAAACTGAAGAGTAGATAGACTGGCCATGGCTTTTGCTAGACCACTTAGGGAAGGACATAAACTTGTAAAGGGCAATAAATAAATAAATAAATAAATAAATAAATAAATAAATGGAAAGCATAAGCCAATACATACAGATACACTTTTCTTTAAAAATAGAAACTACTGGAGTGCCTGGGTGGCTCATTTGGTTAAGTGTCTGACACTTGGTTTTGGCTCAGGTCATGATCTCAGGGTTGTGAGACTTAGCCCCACCTGGGGCTCCTCGTCCAGTGGGGAGTCTGATTGTCTCCCTCTGCCCCTCCCCCTGCTTTTGTGTGCTCTCCCTCTAAAATAAGTAAATATTAAAAAAATAAAAATATGAATAGAAACTACTGTGCCGGTTCTCACCTGATTAGAGTGCCTTCCTACTGCACAAGCTTGCAGGCTCGGCGTTATGCGCCCCAACTCTCTGGCACCTTGTGCTCTGGATAGGAATTAGACTCCTCCAACCGCACAGGCTGGATTGAGACTCGGAAGGCAGAAACGAGACTGAGTCTGCTGCGTGCTGCATGGACCTTTCCTACTGACAGGCAAGGCCAGAAGCTGTGGTATGGTGAGTTTCTGCAGCGCTGGGTGTCAAGAAGCAAGTGCATTGAAGGTAGTGGCTGAACCCTGCCTTCCCGTGTGCAAATGCCACCTTTGGGCGTGTGGAGCACAGCCCTGCAGTGGCAGTGGTGGCGGCTTTGGGAGGAGGTTCTGGAAAGAGCTTCCTGAGTGGGGCCCAGGTAGCTGCTCCCACGATGGGTCCGTTTTGTGAAGGTGCTCCAGGAGTTCCTGGAGGCCTTCCCCAGAGTCTGCTTCTCATTGTCCCTCCAATGATTTTGTAAGTGCCTCATCATCTACATCAATCTTTTTCTGTTTCCCAGACGTGAACATACAATACATATTGTTTCTAGTCTAAAATTCATATTGCCTCAGACCACCTACTGGAGAAGACTTGCCACAGAAGACTACTCCATCTAAATATTCACTTGAGGAAGAGTCAACACTGGGGAGAGAAATGGAGTGCCTGGGGAACAGAGGTGGGACAAAGCCTTACTCTTTTACGGTTTACCTTTTGTGCACCTTATAAATTTTGTACTATGTGTTCATATTATGTGGCTATAGAGACAATTGGGCCTCTGTTGCATGAACCTGGTAAAGAACAGTATAGCAGGAGAACATCGGAAGGAGACCCATATCCTACCCCTGAGCCCCTCACATTCACACGTTACACCCTGATCCCAAAGTGTTGGTACTTAGAAGCAGAGCCTTTGGGAAGTATGGGGGGATGGAGCCTCATGAATGGAGCTAGTGCTGTTATGAAAGAGACCCCAGGGAGCTCCCGTGCACTCTTCCTGTCACGTGAGGACACAACAGGAAGTGGGCAGCCTGCAGCCCAGCAGAGGGCTCTCACCAGAACCTGACCCCACTGGTGCTCTGATCTTGGACTTCCAGCCTCCAGAACTGCGAGAAATAAATTTCTGATGTTTAGAAACTACCCAGTCTAGGGTAATTTGGTATGGCAGCCCAAACAGAGGAAGGCCCCCTGCTCTATATATTGATGATTACAATATCTCTCTGGAGGGTCAAGTGAGCAATAATGCATGTGTGCGTTCTGTAACCGAAACAGCACCTTTGAGAAAAGAGAAATATGAGTTTCTATATATGGACATGTATTATGTGTCAGGTGGCATGAATTAACCCATCTTCCAGAAACCCTGTGAAGTGGTCCCGCTATCTTACAAGAAACCTGAAGGACTGAGAAGTAGAGTAACTTGTATAAGGTCACTGAGGAACCAGGATGGGGACCCATTTGGTTCCAGAGACATTTATCTTGACAGTATTCTATGCTATATTGAAACAACTGCAGAGCACCCCGACCACCAGCCAAAACAAAACTGGGACAGCCCCCAGGAGGCAGTAACCAGGGGGAAGATGGGTTTCCCTGGGAGGGAAAATAGTATATGGGGGATCCCTCTCCCCTTCCCTAGTCAAAACTAGTCAAAGTACCGCCCATAGGCCAGCTAGCTGTGTTACTTTACCTCTGAGTGTGTTTTTCAAGAAACTCCAACGTTTTCAAGCAAGATTACATTATCATAGACTATTTGGCTATCCAGTGGAGCCTGTTCATTATATAATCTGTTTTTTTCTTTCTTTAGCACTAGTGTGATTATTAAAAAAAAAAAAAGGAAGAAAGAAAGAATGAAAAAGAAATCTGAGTAAATACCATTGAGCTCTTGCCTACACTTGGAAAGCTTTGTGACTGCTGGGATTTTCCTTCACGAGAAGTGACATGCTGGAGAGAAGAATGCAAGATACTCAGGACATTTGCACTTCACGTCTGCCGTTGACGAGAGAGTGATTGCTCAGTGCCTAGAAATTCTGAATCCACACCAGAGGGAATGAGCCAGTCCTGAGCTGCCATGCTCTGACCATGCCACAGAAACATTTCCAGAGGAACACATGAACAGCCCGCATGGAGTCTAAGCGAAAGCTCCTGGAATCCTCAGAAGATGCTGTCTGGCAATGGCTGCCACCTGTCGTTCCGCATCTTTGAGGAACTGAGCTACCACATAGATACCAAGTCACATCTTGTGTGATTAGTTGTCATCTCTGAACACAGAAGAAAAATGTCGTCTGCAGGAAGATATGTCAGTACATTTTATTTTAGTCAATCTTAAAAAAATAAGTTCACATGCCAAATCTGAATGAGAATTATGAAGACATGTGAAACTTACCATTGTTTCCATGCTCGCAGCCAGCCCTGCACAACCACTGTTCTTGGCATCCTGAACAACGTAACTTTCATCTCCTTGAAAATATGTAATTTTTATTGGTCGCCTTAGTAGAAGATTCTTCCTCAGCTGTGCCCCAAATAAGATTCTTCCAGAGCAAACGTGAATTCTATCTGTAACCTCATCGCACATTTCATTCAACTTCAAATTAGCCTTAGGGAACCTTAAATATTTTTCTCATTTTTTTTTTAAGATTTATTTATTTGAGAGAGGGGGAGGAGCAGGGGGAGAGACTCTCAGGCAGACTCCCTGCTGAGCATGGAGCCCGACTCGGGGCTCAGTCTCATGACCCTGAGATCATGACCCAACCTGAAACCAATAGTCAGATGCTTAACCAACTGAGCCACCCAGGCGCCCAAACGTTTTTCTTGTTTTAAACTGAAAACATAATTATGCTCAGAGTAAATAATGCCATAAAATAATATTAAAACTATCCACAAACAGCTGTTTTCATTTTTTATATTACATATATATATGTATATACTTAAATACTTGAACCACAGCAGACATCCTATTTTATATCTTTTTTTCATTTGATAAGATACAAAAAATTTTCCACGTTGCTACAGAGTATTCTTAATTCTAATATTTAATGTTCCTTTATATTGTTTGGTGAGGTCCACCCCTCATTTTATTTAAAATAGTACCCGATTCCACTCCCATGCCTGGACTTCTTTTTTTTTTAATTTTATTTTGTTATGTTAGTCACCATATATTACATCATTAGATTTTTTTATTATGTTCTGTTAATCACATACATTACATCATTAGTTTTTGATGTAGTGTTCCATGATTCATTGTTTGCGTATAACACCCAGTGCTCCATGCAGAACATGCCCTCCTTAATCCCCATCACCAGGCTAACCCATCCCCCCACCTCCCTCCCCTCTAAAACCCTCAGTTTATTTCTCAGAGTCCATAGTCTCTCATGGTTCGTCTCCCCCTCCAAATTCCCCCCCTTCATTTTTCCCTTTAAGCTATCTTCTTCTTCTTCTTCTTCTTCTT